TCTTACATGGTGTTTGGTCAAATCTGATTTATCAAAAATCTCAAACACTGTCTTAATTAACTGTAAACCGTAGAGTTTTTATTCACACTGACTAATAATAAACGTTTAGCGACTAAAGGAAGATTTTTTTTAATTATAAGTATATGGAAGTTCGCTTAAAGTTTGACTATTTATCATAAAACGCAATAGCTTTTCGATGAACGAAGAATAAAAAGGAACACTGCTTACCAGACAAAATATATTGCACTTTACCGAACGCATAAATAAGCAAACGATACTCATATTCACCACAAAATAGTACAGTATTTAGAAAACCCAGATTAAGCCTTTAGCAAATATACACAAATGAATGTTGTTCATTTCAATATGGAAGGAATTATTGTTCGAAAACATCAGTGGGTTACTAAAACGTTTGCTTGGATTTTTAAAATACAGTATGGTTTGCATGTCATAATATATATTACAGCGAAAAGTTGGGTATATCTCAAATAAAATCAATGCAAAAGCAATGCCAGTGCAAAAAACTTCTGGTAGTCACTTGAAGAGACACTTCAAAATTCAGTAGTTGAGAATTTTTGAAAAATATGCATATACACTGAGTAAAAAGATGTCATCAGAAATTCTTCTGGCTGGATTTGCAAGCCAGATATTACTTAGAAAATCTGAAGATTGACTGAAGTACATATATGCTTCTTTCATGAAATCTGAGCTGATGAAGGCATGATAGAGACGAATTTACAGATGTTTTTAGAAATGAGTTATAAGCAAGTAATTTACAGATTATGAGCATCAGTTAGATAATCAGTGCAATCATGTATATGGAGTGAAATACAAAATCTCCCGAAAATGCTTCATATCTTGCGTGTCTTCATTTTTACCAGCACTGTTACTTGATGAGCAATTAAATTTGTTCATTCTGCTAAATCTGTCGAAATACACATGTCTAAGGCATATTTGTTTTATTTGCTTATGATAATTTGTATTCTTAATTGACTGGGAAATATTAGTATGTATTTTCTAACATATTCAGCTTGCAACTATTGTGACTGTGTTTGTGATTGCGTTTTTCACGCCTAAATACATCTTTTATTTCATCTCTTCTTTCTGGTATTATTGGTTTTCACTGAAACAATAATATTCAATTTAGAAAGTATATTTTCGCCCTTAAGGGTGTACTCTAAGATACTATAATTAAGGTCACCACTTAACAGGGTCATTACTAAACAACAATACAGTAGAGCAATATATGTATACCTTGCTGACGTACTCTTACAAACATGTAAAAAAAATTGAAATGGTGAAAAACAAAAAAAAGACACAGCATATATACTGCTCCTAAATCTTCTCATAATTACTTCTACCTTTGAATCCTTCAGAAAATAACTGTAAATTATACATCTTGTATTCGTTTTTAGACACATTTGGAAAATAAAAGTTGGTTATTTCAATACACAGAGCCTAGGATCTTAAAAAAAGTCAGCTGATATAGATCCGTGTTCAAACTTAGAGTTTTCCATTAACCTTGAAGTACTGGATGAGTTCTATCTTTTTATTCAGTGCACAATCTTAACCTTCGAAGCTGACCTTCACTTATGTAAGACGACTGAAGTAGTTTTGATCTGGTGCCAGGTATGAGCAAAAAGTCAACTTTCTGCCTACTGGCTTTCGATATTTAATAGCAAACTATCTTTTAGCACTTAACATAGCAATTATAAACTTCGTAGACAAAGAGATTTTTCAGGTAAACTAATAACAATTTACAGATGGATTATTGTTGATTTCAGTATAAAGCGAGTTTATTACTTTTTTCATATCAATAATTATAAACTTAATACATATCTTACCTTAATCTTAAGCAGTTTTCCAAGGCTTATTGGTAAATGTTTCCGTGGGAAAACAAGTAAAACAGCAATAACCTTTTGACCAGTATAACTTACATTTTTTTCTACTTTTTAGGCTATAAAGTCATTCTTATCATGGGAGCATGTAATAAATAGTATATTTTACTTTTGCAACCTAACAAATGAGAATGACCTCCACGAAAATTAAAAACCAAGCAGATTTACTTTGACATTTGACATTTCAGAAGAATTTTTTCCTGGGATTATGATAACTTAATTGAGAATTATGCATACATTTATTTACCAATATGGTACAACTAAAGGCGGTAGGGAATCTTTTCGTCGACAGGTTAAAAGGTAGAATTAGCTGAATGGAGTATTTGTCAATAAATCGCCACTAGACGTGACACGAACTGTAGATAGATGATACCCTTACCTGCTTTATGTAACGCTTCAAATTCTAAAGAAAGTAGCCTAGCAACCTATTTTAACATTGACTGCATGGTCTATTAAACCAAACTGTCAAAAAGTCAACTAAAACTACCAATCTAGCATTAGTGACTTTAGCTTTTGAATAAGTAATAAAGCTGTTTGTTCATCAACCTATTTCAGAGGTTTGTATGAAGTAGATGGCATTTTTTTTAGCAGTGATTATTGATACTTCGTGTTATTCTACTGACTCCTTACTGGTTCTTTTTCACGTAAAATCAGGTGGAAAGTACTAGTTTTGCGTTGATTTTCGATGTATTTAACACTTTTTTTCAGAAAATATACAAGTAATACATAAGGAGACATCCAAAAGTACAAAACGTCATAGCATAGAAGTTGTGGATATTCTGGAACGAAAGAAAAAAGGATAAACAAGACAAATAAAGAACGCAAGGGTGTTGTTCAGTGAAATTCTGAACAAAGAGTACAACTGTTAATTTAACTTTCTTGTAAAGTTTGTTATTTTTATTATAACTGACTGAGAATTCCCGATGCGCAATATGAATTGCTTTATTGAAGTTTTTTGATGTGAACCTTTAGTAATTCTTAAGATACGGTTACATCGTAAATTCTAAAGTTACTCATTTCTACTGGTTCAGAGAACAATTTTCGGTGGATGTAAATGTCAGGCATTTTAGTGGCACACACATTAACATCAACACCTAGTTACTCCTTGGTTTATTTTTAATGGTAAATAAAGTGGGGAAAATTGCCTATCTTTTAATAAACCCTTCAAGGCAGAATTTAGTAAAAATTTCAGAAGTGACTAGCACAACTTGCAAATAATGCAAAATAAATTTTACATATATCAGTTATATAATTATAGGTATAAGCTGAAAAAAAGTAAAGTTTTTTAAACGTGGTAAACAGTTATTGTAAGGTTTTTAGGACATATCCATCACATCTGCTACCTGAGTGTTGTATGAATAAACTAGCGAAACACCCATATCATTTCTTTGGCTACTATTTGGTTTTTCTCAAGGCAAAGTTACTTGCATGTGAATTATTTACATTATCTACATGTGACTATACATGGTTGTCTGGGCTTATGGAGTATTCTGCTAGGAACATTAAACTAGTGAGTTAATAAGTTAACTTGAGAAAGGTTATTTAGTATATTCACTATTGAAAAAGTCATGATGTTGAGTGGAGTGTATAATATAGACTTCACCATATATAATGATTTGTTATTTCTTTGCTGACTGCCTGAATTTTTATGACTTTTTCATTTTGATCCCTTTTTGTGGTTGGTAAACTAGCCTTCATAGACATTAGATATTTTTGAAAAATTGTGAATAAACCAAGAGAAGCGAAATAATGATCAGTTCAGACTTGTACTAGTATGATGAACGCTATTCAAGAGAATAAATGCTGGTGATATTTAGAATAACACCAAAGGATACAATGAAGTAGTGAAGATGTTTGAAGAAAGGAGACAGAGTATCAGAGGCAAACAAAGTAAGCGAAAAAATTGCACAGTGATATCCCAAGCTAAAAGAATGTTAGCAAATGTGATAATGTAGTCCGGTTCGGTATTATTTTATCATTACCTACTGTAACTTTCCGATAAACAAAACATGTTACTCTACACAGCTTGTTTTCACTGCTGTGTAAGAATAGCCACTTTTATTGGTTGCCATAAATTTCAAATCATACAAAAAGTATAAAAAGAAATATTACGATAAAACTCAATTTACTGAATTTATGTCTACATTAAGTGATTTTAACGCTTAGCAATTAGGAAACCTGTAATCCTTAAAAAAAGAACCTGGTTCTTCACTTTATCACTCATTGTCTGATTCATGTTATTGTTCTGATACGGCTGTATACAACGATTTTGTAGAAGAATATTTATAATAATTCTAACTAAACTGAGATTTTTATAATGTAACTTAGACAAAAAAATTGGTGAAATATTTACTTATGGGTTTATGAAAACAATCAATAATTTCTACTTTTTTTCTCTATTTCTATTATAGCAATTATGTACGATCAGTAAAGAATGAGGAAGAAATTTTTTTAAAAATTCATTTTACTAGTTATTCACTTTGTACTATGGTTGAATCAATAAAATTAAATTTTTATGTTTACAAGTGGTTATGACAGCAGTTGTTGATTGAACTTCGTAAACTAAAAATATTCCGTTTAATAGCTGCAACATTTTGATAACGAGAACAGAATAAATTATGCCTTATAAACTGTTCAATAATAGATTCATCATGGAAAACACTAAAAAGCACAACATGACGTTTATTTTCATGATGTCTTTTGCCATTCTAATATATTTATTAACTGTAAGTTGCCTTTGAAATACAAGTTGACAAAAGCATGAAATGTAACATTTTTTTGTGTGTAGTTTCTTCAACTTTTTCAAGATTGTAAGCATAAGTTATTCAATTTTAATTTCAGCCTGAAGTGTTATGTTGTCGATTGCATCACATGTAGCTAGCTTTGTGTTCAGTATCCACTTCAATTATTTAGATTTATTCAAATATATTCTGTCAAAACTGTGAAATGAAGTTATGCCTATCTATTTCACTTATAAAGACACTAAAGTTTAAAAATATCATGTTTAAACAATATTGTTATTCACTTTTGCTAATAGGTATTCTACCGAAAGGTTAAACATTCTTACTGACTTCTTTCTCATAATTTTGATTTTTTTTGTTTGATCTTTGAATGAAGTTATTCATATTTGCATTGAAGAAGAAATCAGAATCCTTCACTTCATCTTATCGTTAGTTATATTGTTATTTACATGTTACAGTATGCTTTAACTTCTTGACCCATAAACACTATTTGTAAAGACGGAAACTGTATTGATAAATAATTCTAAATTAAATAAAATTGCTTTATAAACAATACAAAGTGATGATTGAAGGTTGAACGAAAGCCTTGGTCACAGTATGACTTAAGGTAGCTACCACCTGAGTGACAAGTTTGATGTTATACTATCTGATCCTTACTGGGTCTGTAATTAAATTTCAAAGGGTTTTGCTTGGTCATCATTTGGATACTTGCCTGATAGACAACTGTCATTTGATCTTTGTAAGCTAACCAGCCAGGACTTCTCCATATCGAAAGTGAAATGAATTAAAGAAAAGGAGCATCGGAATGGTGATTGATGAGGCTATCTCAGATAACTACAACTTTTGATTGATACAACGTGACAACCTTAATCTGCCTTTAAAAATAATTGTCTGGTTATAAGTACTTATAGCGCAATAAAGAACGTCATCTTATTGAGAAAAAATTGTTCATTGCTCTATTTTTATCAAAATGAATAGATTGCTATCAAACTTTAATCACCTTGTCTACAACAAGCAAACAATAAAGACATATGAATACTTCCAATGATGGTTATTCAATTGTATTTCAAGTGTTTTATGCGTAACTGCATCTTATATGAATGTATACCTCTATGAGTTGACGCACGGAACCTGATTTCTTTAGCTTGTAACAGATTTTAACAGATTAGCATAGTTTAACTCTTAAGAACAGCCTTCGTTTATGTGATACAAAAATTCTCTGCAGTCACATACGCGATCTCAAACTTTACTGTCAGGTTTCTCTAGTTGTTAAAGAACCATAATATTTCACTTGTTATTACATTAATGGACATTGAAACAAGGTATTGAATCAATGCCAATTGTTGTATTTGATACTGCGTAAATTGCATTGGTTAATCAGTTGTATAAGAACAAAGGATAAGGACTGTTACTGCACAAGGAAAACCACAAAAACATTTGTACTGTGTCAACTTTATCATGTTCTCTTTCATTTGTTAGCTTTTCAAAGTGTAAATGAAATATATAAATGTTTATAACCTATTCTAGTTTCGGTGCAGGATATCTAAACTAGTTTTAAATGGCAGTTACTTCTGGAAGATCACATTTATCGAGCGGAGAAAAAATATCAGAGGCTAGATTAGGTAGAATAAGCCTACGTTCCTCAGAAATTTCATCACTTACATATTGCTTAAATGATTTGTTTACCATTCTTTACTAATTTAGCTATGGCTGTAGAAATATAATTTAAAAAAGTTCTTTATGGACACAGTTATATGGTAAACATCTTCACACTCCTTTTCAGTGTCAATGAAAGAAAAATAACCGTGCTGTATCTAGGTTACTTGCTTTTCTGAACTTAACAGCAAAGCTTATCTACAGCTACGAAGAAACTCAGAAGATCTAACCTGGGTCATTCATTGTCGATGTCGCAGACTCAAACACCAAGAAACTCACAACGTTACTAAACCTCGCTTGAGTTGAATTCTGCACACCAGTTAGTCACCAGTAAGCATCCATTGTAGCTGTCTTGTTTTTAGTACTCAGTACCGACAAACGAACAAACTACAAATCTAAATGATAGTGACGGTTAACGGAATTTACCTAAAGTGCTTTATGTCATCATAATATATTATACTTCGCTCGTCTGGAAAGTGGACAAGTTTATGACACATGTTCTGTTAATTCTGTCAATAAATTCGATACTTTTTGTATTTCATAACTTAAGAACCGTAGCCTTCAAAGTATGATCAGTTTGTAACAACGGAAATGGCTGAATAAACTCTAAAGTGACCGCTATCTTTGTTACTTAGCAACGATAAGTGCAATCAGTTGCTGTTAATGGTTTAAAGATTGCTTTGCATAAAGTTTTCATTTATGAAATAGTTGAATCTATTTAGATAACAGAAATTACAGTATAGTAGTTAGTAATAATAACAATAATACATAATAAATTACTAACTCCAGAAGTTTGATACGGTGAGAGAATAAATGCTCGTGAAATTTTTCAACCTACTCACCACATAGATTAGTATAGTGTACATACAAATCCTTTTTAAAAGCTACCTTTTAGAAACAGAGCAAAATAATCCATCTTTTCATGTTTATTGCACTTATATATCTCCAAAGTAGTATCTTGTAATTACCATCTATGAATAGAGTTTTAGGAATAAAAGTCATTTATTTGTTATTATGTTTTGAGCAAAAGTGTCTGGTGCAGTACTTGATTCTATGCTTCACAAGTTGTTAAGTGTCATTAATGTGTCGATTCCACAGTGTGTTACTGCACTGAAAAGTTTTCACAACGTTCATCTGAACTCTTCTGGTCTGTGAATGATACTGTACCATTTGAATGTGACGCTGTAGTCATATAATTCACGGATTGTAAAGCGTCTGCTGGCTCACAGGTATACTGTGGTGTAGAGTGATTCCTAGAATAACGTTGTTTCAGTCGACATGAATTGAATTTTATTTTAAAAGGTGAACATAGAATATCACCGAATGCTTTACGAATATCACGCAAAGAATATGCATAGATAAATGGATTGACACCTGAATTAAGGTAGCCAAGCCATGTTACTAATGGGAATATAATATTTTCTTTAGATTTTAAAATTGACGGGTAAATAGCTTTAATGGTGTTATAAACAAAAAATGGCAACCAACACAGAACAAATACACCCATTACAATTCCAAGTGTTTTAGCTGCTTTACGTTCTTTAGTAAATCGCTGAACACGTTTTTTGATTTCAGTTAGACAACTTCTTGATGTGATCCCAACCTCTTCAATATTTTGTATTGTATTTGATGCTGATTCTGAAACATTATCATCACTTGGTATTATTGGTTGGCTTATATTAGTTCGGTTGAATATAATCTTGTAACAACCACAAAATAATGTGCATTGAGTACTTGGTTCATCGGTTAAGTCAACAGCTTTTGGTTGATTAAATTTTACACGTTTAACTATTTTTTTATCATCAGTTATTTCAGAATCTGGCAACTCCTGATTGTTAGCAGTATCCATATTCTCCTCAAAATTTGACAAAGGAATCCGTTTGTTTGAAATACTGGTAGAGTTTGTTGAACATAGGGTATCAGTGTTTTTATACGTTTTCGTCAGTATACCTCTGTGTAATGAAGATGGTAATGATTTAGTTGTACCACCCCTGTGTACTCTTAATATCATAACTTCACCACCGAGTGATTTTCGGTAAATCAGTCTTTTGCCAGTATTCAGTGTTTTAACTAGACCATTGGCTTTTTGGTAAATTTTCCAATAAACAAAAACCATAACTATCAGTGGTATATGAAATGAGATGCATGATGAAAGGAATAAGTAAACTCGATCAGATGAAAATAAACACTCTTCATTTGTTACAGCATTGATTTCAGTATCATTGTATATATTACTTGAATACCGCCACCAGGCAATAGCCGGAAATGAAATTAACACTGAACATATCCATGTTAGCATAATCATGAGAATGCATCGTGAGTGTGTCATACGTAAAGGGTAATTAAATGGATCAGATATAGCAATATAACGTTCCACAGAAATTACGCATAAGTTTAAAATTGAAGCTGTTGAGCTAAGGACATCCAATGCATGCCATATATCACACCAGTCTTGTCCAAAAGGCCATAAAATATATTCACTCTGTTGTTCTTTAGGAAGACAGTCTTTATGAATCGACCTGAGAAGGTCGATTACAGCGAATGGCATAACTATAGCTCCTAAAACTAGATCTGCTGCTGCTAGAGATGCTATAAGACAGTTAGTTACATTTTTTCTTAGTTTATGTTTTGTAGATATAGCAACTAGGACAAGTAAGTTACCTCCTATGGTAACAATGATGATAATACTAAACCCCAAAGATGCTATTGATTCCACTACATTTCCATCCACTGAATGTAGACAACCACCGCTTGTATTGATACTAATATTATCCGATATATCCACATTTAGTTGTTGTTCCTCAGTGTTCATTTCTCATAGGTGGTCTAAGTTATTTGACCATAATTATTCATATCAGCAAGAAAATTCAATCGGACAAAAATAGCTTGGTGTTTTATATCAACAAAATTTGACAGCCAACCATTCGCATTATAATTTGGCCTAAAATAAATATTACCAACCAATGACTGTGAGGCCAAGGGACCAATCAAACCAGTGACCTTGAAACTAAGTGACATTTCTTGCAGTGGGATCGCAGTGGTTATAATAATATTGTATGAATATAATTGACATAAGATTGAAGTTAATCTCAGTTTTAAGAAGTATGACTAAAATATTTTAGATAAGTAATGGAATACTTCTCTTGATAAATTTGAAGTGTTAGAAGTACTAGGAAAAGGGAATAAAATGATATTTTATTTCACGAATATTCATTAGTTACGTAGTCTGAAATGACAATGAATTTCAGAAAAAAATTATACAATCGAATGCTATATATTCTTGAACATTGTCACAAAAGATAATATAAGATTTAAGGACTTATTATTTTAGGAAACGGAAGATAAGTTGAACATTGGAACCACTGCTAACTTATATGTTACGTTACAAAAAAGTTCTAATTGGATGAATACCTTGGTCATGTCATGTCTAATTTGATTTGTAAATTTGCGTACATTTATGGTAGCATGTAAGCTGAAAAGTGTGATAGGAGGACATTCATTCATTCCTTTAAGCATACGATGAATTTATTATTATAGTAATATTTAAACTACGTGATTAACAAACATGTCGCACATACAGGACATCAGTTCAATAATTCTAGCTCCTACGAATTAAATGGGCAGAATAAACCTCAGCTACTAATCCTTTTCAAAATCGTTTATCTATAATAAAAGGCTTTCAGCCTGATTTATACAAGAATTTGACCTTGTTTCACTTACTTAGTCATAAATTTTACTCGTGTAATGATTTCAAACTACTTATTTGATTGCAGTCTTACGGATGTCATTTTCTTAATTATTTGTAATCCGTTGGTTAATATTACTCACTTTTCTTTTTCTTTTTTTCGACCCTTTCCCATACTGCACAGTCTTTGAGCCTTTATTAGATAACATATAAGTAAACAGTGGTTTCTATGCTCAACTTATGGCCTTTTGTTTCCCCGACACTCTGGATTCCTCAATTTTAGAATATCTTTTGTATTACCATACGACATTAAATAGTACGTAAGTAAATAAATTTTCTTCGAATAGCCGTTGCAATTTATTATTTTAACTAGTCGATGGTTATTCGTATAATAAAACACTTCAAGTTTGTTTACATTTTCACAGATAACGTGTGTCAAAATAGCTTCATAAAGATGGGTGGTATGTGTAAGGAAATCAAAGTTGAAAAAATTGAATACCCACAAGCTGAATTTCACTTGCTCCAAAGAATATGTGTACTCAGTTTTGCTTAGTAAAATGGAAACTTTTTAGGGGTGGAAACGGTGCTTTAATATAGCAATATATCATTATATATTTTTTGAAAAGATCCAAATGTGACACGAATTCAGTCAAAACTTTTCATTATATGACATTTTTCGTGAAATGTTTTGCCTAAATAACTTGAATATGCTGATTATGAGATTATTTTGGTTTTCAAAGACAATTTGGACAATGTTTAATGCCAAAAACTGAAAGGAATATAGCAGTGAGAACTCAGGAAGACTGTCTTACTCTATTAGTTTGGCGTTTTGTAATTCATGCAGTAAATGTTATTTTAAAAAAGTTTAGGCAGCTTATTTCGCAAAATTCATTATTTATTTATTGTTTATAGGTAACTTAAACTAAGAAAATGTTTTCCAGAGGATTTAGCGTAAACTATTTTGTTTCAAAATACATATCCTGATTTTTTTGATACGAGATGAAAGCAGCTTCTATGGTCTATATATTTTTCTCAGGTGCATATTTAGTCAGTAGACTTAAATGGTATCATGCGGAGAGCAATAGCTTTATTATTAGCTCTTCTGTCGAATATTGCATAATATTCATGCAGTCATTTCGTATATATTATTCACTGAGTTTGGATGTTTATTAGACGGGACATAGTTTTCGAAAAATTATTATTATTATTATTATTATTAGTCCCTTGGGTTCCTAGTGGAACATAGGGCTTCAGTAGCACGCCTCCAGTGACCTCTGTTCTCTGAGATCTTTTGAACCTGGTCCCACGACAGCCCACAACCTCTCATTTCCTCCTCGCGCGACCTCCTCCATGTCACCCTCGGACGTCCAACTCGTCGCTTCCCATGGGGATTCCACTCGAGGGCCTGACGCGTGATGTCCTCAGTCGGCCTTCTCAGTGCATGGCCAATCCATCTCCACTTCTTCCTGCATATTTGTTGGGTGATAGGTTCTTGGTTGGTTCGTTTTCAGAGTTCCTTGTTGCTTATTCTTTCTGGCCATCTGATCTTCAGCAGCGAGCGTAAGCAGTTGTTGTTGTTGTCGAAAAATAACGATTGACATTTCCTTAGATAGTTTTATTTATAACTTCTAAACTTAAAATGAAAATATTTTAAAACTAGCCTGAAAAGTGTTTTACGTTGAACATATCAAATGATAACTAAGTAACAGGGATTATAAAAGAACTGTAACAAAACAACCCTTGTTTGAATTTTGAATATTTCTTGACTATCTGTAATTTTTTTAAGTGCCAGGTAAACCTTAAATTTAAAGTCATAGGCATTTAATAATTATTTAAAACTTTTCTTTTGAAGAGTAGAATACTAATTGCATCATCTAAAACTATGTTTTCGTAAGCAACATGTACATTAGAAAATTTATTTTCAGTATGAAAGTATATTTTACTGATTTGATGCACCACAAAATTTACTGCTTTTCGAATCTATACGCCAGTCTTATGTTCAATTGAGGAAAAATAATATACACTTTCGAATTGGAACTTTGTTTGTTTATACTGGATGAAGTTTTTCAAACATTCTAACAAGTTTACTCACCCTTCCCACAATTCTTTGTTATATAATTGAATATTTAAGAGATTTGTACAGTTACTTGAAATAAAAAACTTATTGTATGAAACCTTTTTGGATTCATAAGCGGAAAACACACCATATACTGTAGTTGTTTGGATCATATTTCTTGCTACACTGAACTGTCAAAAAGTTGAGCATCAGATGATCAAGTAAAATTGTGTAATTTCATTACACTAAACAGTAAAAAGGAATGGTGTAATGAGTTTCGAAATTAGAATTTAACATGGGCTAAAATTAGTTCAAGCTCTAACAGAAAGTGAAAAGCAGTTTAGGGTGAGATGACTACTTTGAACCGCTTTAGTGAACACGCAGTGTCTTATGTCAAATAAACAGAGATATTTTTCAATACTCTTCTGATTCTGGCATACAATTTCTAGGTAATTGCTTCTCGTGTACTCGAAAAACTAAATTCGCTTGTCTGGACAATTTCATTGGAAGATTAAACGGAGGCTTCCATTCTGTTTCTTAAAGCAATTCAGAATAAATTCTACCCAAATCAAATAAACTTTGTGATCACTGCTATCATTATGAAAAATCAATTGTATAAAAAATACCGCAGATAATTCTTTTTATGAAAGTATCTGGTATGAGAAGTGTTTTCAAGTGAAATTATATAAAACGATGAATAGTGCAGTCTATGTATTACTCCAAAATCATGAACTTATTTTGACTGCCAAATCCTTTATTTTACTCATCTATCAATTTCAAAGTACTGATTCAATTACAGTAATATGCATGTTAATTATTTTATTAGTTAAGAAATCTGTTAGCTAGTAGGAGAGTCATTCTTTTTCCACTTTTACAATTCTTCAAGCTTCTATTCACAAGAAAATAAGCAGTGATTTTAAAATCTAGTTTCTATTTTTGTTTCTACAAGATTGAAATTCATTAAGATACAATATCTAAAGTACAACCATTTGACATTTAAAAGGCAAAGTTCTTTACTCTATTTTATTCTGATCACCACTATGATACTAAGTTGTATGAAGCTAAAGTAAATTCATCAAATGAAATTATATTATTATATTTTGCGGATCTAGTCCACTTAACCTTGTCGAAATTACTTGAAGGATGCAAAAATTTAACACATTGAAATATTATTATTATTTATATTATTATTAGTCCCTTGGGTTCCTAGTGGAACATAGGGCTTCAGTAGCACGCCTCCAGTGACCTCTGTTCTCTGAGATCTTTTGAACCTGGTTCCACGACAGTCCACAACCTCTCATTTCCTCCTCGCATGACCTCCTCCATGTCACCCTCGGACGTCCAACTCGTCGCTTCCCATGGGGATTCCACTCGAGGGCCTGACGCGTGATGTCCTCAGTCGGCCTTCTCAGTGCATGGCCAATCCATCTCCACTTCCTCCTGCATATTTGTTGCGTGATAGCTTCTTGGTTGGTTCGTTCCCAGAGTTCCTTGTTGCTTATTCTTTCTGGCCATCTGATCTTCAGCAGCGAGCGTAAGCAGTTGTTGATGAATGTCTGTAGTTTATTGGAAATGCCTTTCGTGACGCGCCAAGTCTCTGAGCCATACAAGAGCACTGACTTGACGTTGGTGTTGAAAATCCGTATCTTGTTCCACATGCTGAGTGCAGAAGATCTCCACACTGGTTTCAGGCTAATGAATGCCTGTCTTGCTTTTCCGATTCTGACTTTGACGTCCTCGTCCGTCCCGCCTGTAGTTGAAACAGTGCTTCCTAGATAAGTGAAGGAGGTTACTTCCTTCAAGTTTCTCCCGTTGACGGTGATTGGAGTTTGTTGTTGTTGTTGATGGTGGTGGTGCGGTATCTTCATCACTTCTGTCTTCTCTATATTCACCTGAAGTCCCGTCTTAGCTGCCTCTTCTGTCAACTTGTTAGTTTTTGCCTGCAGATCTTCAAGTTTATGTGACATTAGGCATAAGTCATCGGCGAAATCCAAGTCTTCTAGGTTCTTTTCCGTCGTCCAGTGTATCCCCCTCTTCTCGCTGCCTACTGTTTGCTGCATGATCCAGTCCACCACAATAAGGAATATCATGGGGGATAGTAGGCAACCTTGTTTCACTCCTGTCTTCACTTCAAAGGCATCACTGAGCTTCCCATTGTGGATT